TGTACAGTTTTGTGTGTGTTTTCAACATGTCAGGAGTGAAACGTAAACACGTTACTCTTTCATTAAATGAAAAATTAGCAGTGCTACAAAGACTGGACAAATGGAAGATTGTTTATTTTACTTTTTTCTGATAATCCGACCTTTTTTGCGTTCCGAGCAGACACCCAGTCCCAAAGGTGACGGACTAGAGGGGTTCTACTGTAATTATATATACAGTACCTAATTTATATATAATACTGTACAGACTTACTCGCTTACTCTCTCTGTAGTATGTAAGTAGTTCGGCTGCTCATTTACTATTGGTCCAGATTCGACTAATCCTGTCATGACACGAATCAGCAACGACATTTTACGAGTCCCTTTTAGCGTCTTTATACAAATACTGTCGCAATTTTTTCGCCACATTATAGGAATCTCCATTATAGGAACCCACGTTATAGAGGGGTCTACTGTATTTGGGTGGATGATCAAATGCACGTGCATTTTTTGGCACATCTTTATTATCAAATATTATTCTATTCTTATTTATATTTTAACTCATGTACTAATTTTGTGCGTATTTACTTAGTGCTCTATTTTTAAGAATCATTCTGAGCATTAACTGAGGTAAGAGTATATGTCATCTTATCTCTTGCAGTTCTGTAGAACTGCCAAAGTTTAATATAAATTGAGTTAACTGTTTTTTTATGTATTGGGATTTTAAGTTTCAATTACAGTACCTCTGCCTTAGTATGTAACATTTTTTGTCAATGAGGTTCAGACAAGAAGAATGATTATGAAAAATGATGAAAAATTAAACATTTAAAATGAGATGATTTAAAAAAATATATAATGAAAGAAATACTCACGAATTCCAATTGTCAAAAATCACAGTTCACTGCTTTATTCAGAGACTCCAAATAAAGCAGTAGACTGTTTTTTTTTTTTTCAAATATAATAATAGTTATTTGTGGAACAAAATTGTCATTGCAATACCAATAAATTTTTTGTCAATTTTTCTTAACTGAAACAGAGAACTTTTTCATAATTATTGATTGTTTTAATATAAAACAATGTTTATATAGATATATCCAGTATTTTAAAAAATGAAAATTTATAATTATTAAGTAAGGTATTTACTATTGTATCTCCAAATTCAATAAGAAATTCTTTTTCTTGCACAATAGGAAATCAAACTTGTCGACAAAAAAATATTTGTTTTAAAGAAAATTTAAGTATATTTATTTTTGAGGCTTAATTAACAAAATATATTTAAAGATAAAATTGATGAACACACTTTATGCCAAATTAATACAATTAATAAATACACACTGTCTGTCAGTGTTTATTAGTTTAACCCAAATGTGCACATGTACTTTTAACATTTTATAAATGTCGTCTTCAGGCAAAATAGAACGTATTTAGAATGAGAACAAAATTTTTACAAAAAAGTACTTGATACATTTGAATTAAACTAAATTAACACTGAAAGACAGTGTGTATTTATTAATTATATTTAAAGATATTTGACATTTTTATTTGTATATTTTTATTTATCTATGAATTTAATGGACTTATTTAAATTTGAATTAAATACATTTTTCAGAAGAAACATTGTTAAAAAATGTAATTTGTGGAATTATGGCTGGTGTGATATCCTCATCTATAGCAAATCCCACAGATGTATTAAAGGTAATTTTATTTTAACACACATATGTACATATATAATTTTACTTTTTATTTTAATATAATGCATAAATTGTTCATTGTTTTTTTGTTTTTGTCTGTTTTATTTAACAACTTTTCTTTTTTAAATATATTGTTTTAATGTAGATTATTAAAAGTCAGCATTTTATCCCTGTATAGTTAAAGCATTTTAACCATTCTAATTGAAAATAAATACATATATATTTTTAGATCAGAATGCAAGCTCAAAACAAAAATTTTAACAAGAAAGGAATGATTAATTGTTTTCTAGAAATGTATAAAAATGAAGGCATTAAAGGATTATGGAGGGTAAATATATGTTTATTTTTAATTAGTATTTTAAAATATTTATTATACTTTTACTCTTTTATCCAAATGCATTTTGCCACTATAATCAGGCCTTATTGGTGGCTAATATTGCTAGGTTACGTCAATGTTTTCATAACTGACAAAGCTATCCCAACATACATCAACAGACATTCCCGTATTCAAATTTATGTTATTTANATACTAAACAAGGACTTGCTGTATTTTACTTATATTTTATCCTCTGCTATGTTTGTATGTAGCTAGTATACATTTTTATTATATTTTGTTATAATTTTTCTCCTTGTACTGCTTGTTGTTTTAAATTGCTTCAGTCTGTTACAAAATGCTACTGTAAAAGGGCACATTAAAATTTTAAATAATGCAAAGGCCTATTGAATTGTTTTAAATTTATTTTAATCAATGAAAACAGATTTTGCTTATTTATTAAACACTGCCACATATATAGTCTTCTACTGATTAGATTATCCTTAAAACAATGCTGAATTATCTCTTCAGTCTAATTGTTGCTCAATTGACTTATGTTGAGTATATTTAGTGCAAAATATACTAAATTTTTCAAGTTGCTGTTTTATGTAGTGAAAAAAAGCTCTCCTAGTTCTATTCATTTTTTCAATAAGACTATTTGAAATGTTAAGTACTTCTTGCTTGAGCATCTTGTTTATTTGAATGGAACAAATTTCTTGTGAATTTCTTTGCTATCAAAGAGTGGTATTAATATTATTTGGATTTTTTGAAAACAAAATTCCTTATCATGAAATCTTGTCATGAAATTTTTCAGTCCTTTTTGAACTTTGAACATTATTTGACCAAACATAGTTGACCATTATTGGTTGTCTTGAATAACTTAAAAATTATCACAGAAAAACCAGTTGCATACTTACAAGGTGCACCTGGCAATTTGTAATTACCAATTTTGATGAAATTTTGTGGATGTGTTGTATTTACTTGTACTTAAACTTTACCAAAGCCACAAAATCCACTATTCAATCATCCTCAAGAAAATTACAATAAAAGTTTTTTGCAACCTTTAATATCTATACTGAAGACTGATTCATGAATTTGCATCATAGTATGATTAGTTAAGTATGTCACTTGTAGAGCTTTTGTTTTCAGGTTTGATGCTCATATGCAAGGGGGGTTTTTTTATAATTTAATCTTAGTGTTTTCAAATATGTTTTGTATAATGTTTGTTATTTTTAATTATTGAATGTAAAATTTATTATTTATTATAAAACATCAGGGAATTTAAAAATTCTTTTTACACAATTTAAAATTTTTTCACAAAAATATATATGCCATAAATATTACGATGACTGTTTCACAATAATATGACAGCATTTTAGATGATATTTTTCATAAAAACAGTTAAAGCATAATGGCTCGTTGCACATTCATTTCTACTTCATTCACAGTCTTTACATTTTGTTTTAATAACAGAGAGTGGGAAACAAATTTCATTAACATTTTTGAAAATATTTCTTTTGTGTGTTATTTGAGACTATATTTATAAGTATTTGAAAATATTTGAGACTCAAACCATGCACATTTTAACATGTCACAAAAAACTGGTGCACCCAACTAACTGGTTGTGAATTAGAAATTATACTTTAATAGCAAATTTCTGTATTAAGAAATTGCAGTTTGCTATATCTATATTGGTTTTAAGGAGATAGCTACAATTTTGTAATTTTTTGAAAAAATTTTTAACCTGCTATTAAAATAAACATTGTAAGGCTGACAAAGAAGAGTACATTTCAGTGGGATAAGTTTTAATTGACAAGATGGAATAACTGTCATCTACAAAAATTTTGTTATATATTTGAGAATTTGTTTGACCACTCCATGAATCTATTATTAAGAAAAACTTTACATTTTTTAATATTGTTGTAATTGGGCTGCAATTTAAAAAAATTGTAGATCTATAAATTCCCATTAGCATTTATCTGTCTGCCCTTCCTTAATCTCAAGAACAGAGTTAGATAGATGAAAGTCAAGTCCCAGATATGGAAAGCTTAGGAGCAGAAGGTCCTGATATATGAACTTCTGGTTTGGATGGAAGTGACATTATTTCCATTCAAAAATTTCTCCTGAACAGAGTTAGATAGATGACTGGCATGACTCCATTATTAACAGGAAAAGTATGATGTTCAGAGGCAAGACACTACTAAAATTGAGGGTATTGTGACAAAAAATTGCAGTTTGGCATTGTGATAATGTCACAATAAATAATCATTTAATTAATCATATTTCAATTAAGAAATCTTTATAAAAATCTACATTATGTTAAATAATACAAAATGTTGTTATAATGTTGTATGTACACTCTAAAAATGAAGTGATCAAAGTAAAAAATGTTTTCAAATTTACATTAAAAATTGTATATAACAAATTTAAAAACGATAAGATTAAATTATAAACAGGAATTTAATCCAAAAACATAAGCTCTTCAAATGACACCTTAACTAATCACACTATGCTGAAAATTTGTGAATCAGTCTTCCATATAGGTATTAATTGTAGAAAACATTTATTGTAATTTTTTTAAGAATGCCTGAAGTGGGTCCTGGTCTTTGGTAGAGTTTAAATACAAGTAAATACAACATATTCACAAAATTTTATTGAAACGGTGATTACAAACTGCCAGGTGTTCTTGTTATTAAAATAAAATACATACTTGGTAGGTGCTTAAGTCTCCTGCCTAACTATGTTTATTGTTTTATAGTTATAACATCTAAATGTCATTTTTCAATATAGTCTCCTTGCAATTCAACACACTTAATCTTGGAATTAGCATTTCAATACCCTTGAAAAAATAGTCAGTTGTTTTGTCTGCAAAATTCTCATAAACTGCCTCCTGCAACACTTTATCACTTTTTCAAAGATCAATTTTGATTTTTGGAAACAGTTAATAATCACTAGGAGCCAGGTCCTGGCTATAGTGTGTATGATAAAGTTCCTTGAACTTGCACTCCCTTACAGCAGCCTTGGCAGTGGAAGCTGTGCACTTGATGCATTGTCCTGCAAGAGGTGAACATGATGCAGATTAATGCAACAAGTGTAGCTAAAATGAAAGTTTCCAAGCAGCTTACACAAATTGGTGGGGAGAAAATGTTTTATTAGTAAACATACGGATGGTACTATCTGATACTATCATTATTTTATTCCTATTATGTCTAAGGAAATATAGTTAAGCTNAAAATGCGAACTAATGTAACGTCGTATGGTGAGTTTTTGTTCGTATCGTGGAACAAAAATATATTCGAATTTCATGTCGTATCCTGAAAATTTCGTATGCTGGGGCGTTCGTAACCTGAGGTACCACTGTATTTTATATCTTTAAATATAGTATGAAATAGCTTATCAAATTAAAATTTTTCGTCATGCATTTTTTTTTCAATTCAATCGTCATTCTTTTTTCATTTTTCTAATATGCTGAAAACATTTTTTACAATAAACTGTTGTAAACTTCTCTAACTTGACAATTATACATTTTCCATTTTCAATAAGTGATTCAGTATCTCTCTCTAAATATTAATTATTTTCAATATAATAAAATACAGTAGACCCCCTATAAAACAGGTTCATATAATATGGATTTGTATATAATGGCGAAAAAATTGTGATCGTATTCATATAAAAACACTAAAAGAGACTCATATGATATGGTAAAACGTTATTGCTGACTTGTGTTGCAATAGGATTGGTCGAATCTAGACCAATAGCAGATATTGCACAAACCATTGAGTTTAAATGAGCAGCGGACCTACTAAAAACCATTTATTATTTAAAAATTATATTTATATTAATGATGTCTCCAAAGTTTAGCAAATTTTTCTCAGAAAAATAATTTATCAGGAAACACGCACCCACTGTTCGATGCACTGCTCCGCAACAAAAACAAGCTTAAGCAATGGCATCGTCAAACGGTGCACACTCGGTAAGTAATCCTACAATGTTTTGTTTATAGCATAGTTTATATGGATTATTCCCAAAAAATTATACGTATTTTGAAAATGTTGAGTGAAATTAGTCTAGAATCAATTAATTTTATAGAAGAAAACCTTTCGAACAGCCGTAGTCTGTAAACTGCATACGTGCCGGGCTGTGATTGACTCATGTATTTAAGGACTCATAGAAAATGAATTTTATAAAACACGGAACATATCTACTGTGTTATAGGGGGGTCGACTGTAATTACATTCTTACCCTCTTAAAGTTGTTTGTCTTTATGGCAACTTACAGGTCACATGTCATTTGACAGGTTCAATCAGACATTTATGGTAATTTATTTAGTTAACTTCTGTCATATACATTTAGTGCATGCTACCTATTATATCAGAAAGAATGAAAAAGTGATGAATGGTTCAAAAATACAAAGGAAAACATTTCTCTGGATATGAAATTACAAGTATTACATTGATTGGAAACTGATTAGCATCAAGTTGTTATGTATGCCTCTTTCAGTTTGGCAATGCTCAAAATTAGAACAATTTTAAAAAATACAAATAAGAAAAAAGCTTTGGAAACTATGAACTGAAATATTTTAGCAACAAAACTAACTTGTTCAATAAATCATTTCTCCAAATAGCTTCTTGTTTCAAAAAGTGGAAAGCTTAGTACAGTAGACCCCTTATAATGCGTAGATACGTTCCCCGTTATACGAATTTCACGTTGTAGGAATCCTTAAATACATGAGCCAATCACAGCCTGACACATGTGAAGTTTATGAACAACGGCTGTTTGAAAGGTTTCCTTCCATAAAATTAATCAATTCTAGACTAACTCGACTCAATATTTCCAAAACACGTATAATTTTTTGGGAATAATCCATATAAACCAGGGATGAGCAACACGCGGGCCACTTGTGGCCCGTTAAACATGTTGATGCGGCCCGCCAAGCATTTTTAAAATCGAATTTATTTTATCGACTTTCTGCCATCAATATATTGTTATAAAATTATTTATAATAAAATGGTAGTACATACTAAACCGAAACAACTTTTTGTGACGAGTTACTCAGTTGTCGGCAAGTTGTCAAACATGCAATACGAACGCGCCACGTCTGTGCTTGTTTGTGTTTGCTTCTGTCACACAATTAGCCAGACTGGTAAGCTGTTAACTAGCAATTTTAGCAATTCTTGTGTTTCTTGAAAGGCGTGAGTGCAATATTATTGTCAAAAAGGTAATAGAGTTTTTTTATTCAAAATTAAGTTTTCCTACAAATTTTTTTAACTTTCAAATTTTTAGTCCATAATAGCATGTCAGAAAAGCAAACAAAAAAACAGAAGGTTGCGAATGAGCACAGGCATTTCCAAGAAAAGTGGAAATTTGATTATTTTTTCACTTTCGTCGAAGATAAAGCTGTATGCTTAATATGCTCAGAGACTGTGTCGACATTAAAAGAATATAACATAAAAAGGCATTACGATACAAAACATGAACAACAATATAAAAACTTAACAGGACAACTCCGGATAGATAAGTTTAATCAAATGGAGAAAAACTTGGGAAAACAACAGGCTATTTTTAAAAATCAAGCTATTTTATCAAATACGGCAGTAAAGGCTAGTTTTGTTGTCAGTCAAATACTGGCAAAAAAA